ATTATTAATATTATTATTATTATTAATGGCTCTGATGGGAGGCTCTAAAACATTGATTCGGCACCAGTTTTGAACGACGAACTTGCAGGGAATGTTATAAACCATTTTCGTGAAATTTGAAATAAAAATTTCCAATAACGTGGCGACTACCAACTATGGGGACATTCAGAGGCCCAGCATTTCGCGGTACGTGTTACTGTCATGGATAACATCAACAATAAATCTAAATTGCTAACGAGCACAAACATTTTAAAACGGAAAAAACACGAAATGTTTATATTGAAAACAAGTCCAAGTCTTAAATATCCATTTTTTTAAAGAATTGGAACCTTTGGATGGTCAGAAATGACACTCTCAAGACTGTGACAGGCATGTCACATTTTTATTTTTTTTATTCCGACGACCTGTCAAATTGGGGGGGGGGTCCTGAAATGGTTTGGGATGTATGTAATCTGTCTCTTATACACATCTAGATGTGTATAAGAGACCATGCGAATGTAATGCACAAAAAAGAAACTTATCTTCGCCGATATATGGCTCAACAGATATAATGATCTATTTTGTAATAATGTTTATAAGAGTTAATAGAAACACTAAACGTTTGAACTGTTAATCAATTATTGTTTCGGTCGTATTCGCAACTACTATTTTACCACTTTCTAATTATTAAAAATGCACTAATAGTCATTTTTAATTCTATTCAATTACCTCCATTCTATTAATGCTGTCCTAACTATTAAGTGTTAATGCTGCGTTCATTAGAGCTTGTGAAAACTGATTCCACAACTTGTAACATGGAAGTACACAAGGAGAGTGCATTCATTTGACGAACGCTAAATGGCTGCTGTCACTTTTACAATGTGTTCGGAAATAAAACATACAAAACAACTTTTTTTTTTAATCTGAAATAATATTACTTAAACAAATTTCAATAAATATGTTGGGTTGCAAATAAAACATACAAACAACACTCTTTTTTTTAAAATCTGAAATAATATATTACTTAAAAAACAAATTGCTATCAATACCTATGCTAGTTGTGCATAGTTTGTGTTACATCCGCCATTTTCCACACTACTTGTGCAAATCGAGGAAGAAAATTCTACACGAGTTCACAACTTGTGTTTACCAGTTCACCAACGAGATGAACGCGTTTCACAAGTTGTGAACTGGGAAACACCGACTTCACAATTAAGTTCTAATGAACGCAGCATAACACACACGAAAACACTATGAACGCTAGTACTATAACTTGAATAAACCACGGATTATGTCATCGCCGTGTCAACAAAAAAAGAAACACAGAGCAGGCACGGCTCCAGTAGGAGGCACGGGGAAACGTGCCTTTCCCCTCCCCCCCCCCGTTTTGCCACTAAGCTAACATTTCAATTGCATAGGCCGATATTGAAATGAGCGCTACTCAAACTAATCTGAAAAATGCGGTGTGCCCCCACCCACCCCTTACGAGAACATTCTGGATCCGCCCCTGCAGATAATTGACGAAACCAACCAAGATAACTCCGAGAATCGTGTGAAATTGAGATTAAACCTTCCATAATGCCAATTGTGAGTGCAAAGCTGTACGGATAAAACAAAAACCTTTTTTCTTAAATACTATCTTCTAGTTGTATATTAGATACGTGCTGACAATGCGCTAATCTAATCGATTGGCATTGCCGAAATTTTAATCAACATATTATATTATTCAGGAAGGTGTGCTTTTTAAAATTTAATTTTTACTTGGATATTTTTGCCAAGGTTCAACGAGACGAGTGTTACGCGAACACGGGCGTTTGTTGGACAACACGTGTGCTTGTTGGACATGAGCGTTTTCCTAACACTCTTCTGTTTGGTCATTGTTTGTT